TTTTCCCATAATTTGAAAAAGCTTGAAATGGAGGGTACTCTGGGAGCCATCGAATTGCAGTGTCGTAAAAGTGTCAGTATTGACTAGGCTCGGTAAATATTTGTCAGTTTTATTATCTTCACACTACATCAGGGTATTGCCTCATACAGAAAGATGTAAGAAAAAAAATACAATATCCTTGAATGACACGATATGACATAACGACAGTCGTAAACCAATCCTACATTCAATTTCGACTGAGTTCAGTAAGCACATACCAATATATTTACTTATCTTTACACATGACAAACATATTGATAACTCAATGTAACTGACAAACAGTTTATTCTTGTATTGTTTGGAAACATTCATTGTAATTAAACAAAAAAAGTGAAGAAAAAAATATTCCACAGCGCACTAGACAAGCCATCTTAAATTTATTAAGAAACAAATAGACTTTCATCATTTGGATCTCTCGTATGACTAACAAGGCGGAAATAATCTAAAAGCTGTTTGCAGCTAGACCCTCCTTTATTCAAATTTACGGGTCGGTAGCCAGTCTACGCCAACGCACTAGGACAAAGTTTACCGAGCCGTCAGCATACAAAGACAAAGTATAGCACATCATCAACACACAGAGACAAGTATACAACACCGTCAACATACAAGAACAAAGTATATCACACCGGCAACAAACAAGGACAAAGTATATCACACCGGCAACAAACAAAGACAAAGCATACCACACCGGCAACAAACAAGGACAAAGTATACCACACCGGCAACAAACAAGGACAAAGTATATCACACCGGCAACAAACAAGGACAAAGCATACCACACCGGCAACAAACAAGGACAAAGTATACCACACCGGCAACAAACAAGGACAAAGCATACCACACCGTCAACATACAAGGACAAAGCATACCACACCGGCGACAAACAAGGATAAAGTATACGACACCGTCAACATACAAGGACAAAGCATACCACACCGGCAACAAACAAGGACAAAGTATACCACACCGGCAACAAACAAGGACAAAGCATACAACACCGTCAACATACAAGGACAAAGCATACCACACCGGCGACAACCAAGGATAAAGTATACGACACCGTCAACATACAAGGACAAAGCATACCACACCGGCAACAAACAAGGACAAAGTATACCACACCGGCAACAAACAAGGACAAAGCATACAACACCGTCAACATACAAGGACAAAGCATACCACACCGGCGACAAACAAGGACAAAGCATACAACACCGTCAACATACAAGGACAAAGCATACAACACCGTCAACATACAAGGACAAAGCATACCACACCGGCAACAACCAAGGATAAAGTATACGACACCGTCAACATACAAGGACAAAGCATGCCACATTGTCAACATACAAGGACAAAGTATACCACACCGGCAACATACAAAGACAAAATCTACCGTAACGTCAATATACAAGGACTAAGAACGCCTCACCCTCAACACATAAGACAAAGTATACCAGAATGTCAACGTACCAGGACTAATTATATCACAACGTAAACGTACCAGAACAAAGTTTAACATACCGTCAACAAAAAAGGACAAAGTTTACCACAATATCAACATACAGTAACATAGTTAATCACACCGTCAATATACAAAAACAAAATATACTGTAACGTCAACATACAAGGACAAAGTATACCATACCGTCAACATACAAAGACAAAGTAACCGTAACGTCAACATACCAGGACAAAGTATACCACAACGTCACATACAAGGTAAAGAATATAACATCGTTAATATAAAAAGACAAAATTAACCACACTGTTAATATACAAGGACAAAGTTAACACCACCGTTAATATACAAGGACAAAGTTAACAACACCGTTAATATACAAGGACAAAGTACACAACACCGTTAATATACGAGGACAAAGTAAACAACACTGTCAATATACAAGGATTAAGAACACAACACCCTCAACACATAAATACATCAGAACGTCAACACACCAGGATAAGGTATACAATACTGTCAAAATACAAAAACAGAATAAACCGCAACGTCAACATAAGAGGACAACGTATACCATACCGTCAACATACAAAGACAAATAAACCGCAACGTCAACATACCAGACACTGTCAATATACAAGGACAAAGTTAACAACACCGTTAATATACAAGGACAAAGTTAACAACACTGTCAATATACAAGGACAAAGTTAACAACACCGTTAATATACAAGGACAATGTTAACAACAATGTCAATATACAAGGACAAAGTTAACAACACCGTTAATATACAAGGACAAAGTTAACAACACTGTCAATATACAAGGACAAAGTTAACAACACCGTTAATATACAAGGACAAAGTTAACAACACTGTCAATATACAAGGACAAAGTTAACAACACCGTTAATATACAAGGACAAAGTTAACAACACTGTCAATATACAAGGACAAAGTTAACAACACCGTTAATATACAAGGACAAAGTTAACAACACTGTCAATATACAAGGACAAAGTTAACAACACCGTTAATATACAAGGACAAAGTTAACAACACTGTCAATATACAAGGACAAAGTTAACAACACCGTTAATATACAAGGACAAAGTTAACAACACTGTCAATATACAAGGACAAAGTTAACAACACCGTTAATATACAAGGACAAAGTTAACAACACTGTCAATATACAAGGACAAAGTTAACAACACCGTTAATATACAAGGACAAAGTTAACAACACTGTCAATATACAAGGACAAAGTTAACAACACCGTTAATATACAAGGACAAAGTTAACAACACTGTCAATATACAAGGACAAAGTTAACAACACCGTTAATATACAAGGACAAAGTTAACAACACTGTCAATATACAAGGACAAAGTTAACAACACCGTTAATATACAAGGACAAAGTTAACAACACTGTCAATATACAAGGACAAAGTTAACAACACCGTTAATATACAAGGACAAAGTTAACAACACTGTCAATATACAAGGACAAAGTTAACAACACCGTTAATATACAAGGACAAAGTTAACAACACTGTCAATATACAAGGACAAAGTTAACAACACCGTTAATATACAATGACAAAGTTAACAACAATGTCAATATACAAGGACAAAGTTAACAACACCGTTGATATACAAGGACAAAGTTAACAACACCGTTAATATACAATGACAAAGTAAACAACACCGTCAATATACAAGGACAAAGTTAACAACACCGTAAATATACAAGGACAAAGTTAACAACACAGTTAAAATACAAGGACAAAGTTAACAGAATCTGTATGTCCTGTATCGGAAAATAAACTAACATAAACCAAACTAATATGGCCATTTCGGCTCGCTCGTAGTGTTTTCCCCTGTGTTTAATATTGTAAGTTAAGTGTTATTATTCTAAACCAATAGTTAACCCCTCCTGAAGTCGACACGCTGATTTTTAAAATGACTATAAACTCAATACTCCATGTGGTTCTGCTTTATGGCGATTTCTCAATAAGTTTTCTGCAGAATATTTAACAACCCATATCCCGTTTGACTGTGCACGCTCAGTTGTCCCATAAATCACAAGCTAATCTCATAAAAATTACATTTATGAAAAACACAGCCTCTTATCGTAAAAATGTCACAAGAGAAAAGTTGACCATACAGTGATGTCAACATACGTCAGATAAATTGCATATAATTGCATGTTCGAAGACTAATAATATTACGAAGGAAATTAATTCTTCATTTCTTCCCCAGTCATATTGATTCGTTCTGTTGTTTCCCTATTTAGCACAAACAAACCTCTTTCCAAGCTATATATGCTAATAGAGATGATTTTTTGATGTTGTCGGTAACGGTGGTCACACTTTAGTGGCATTACTGTCATGGTCGACTTGATCGGAGTACCAAATACAGGAACAATAAAATTTTGCCCACAAACCAATTTCATCAATACTGGATGATTATATTTGTAGCACCCTTAAATACTACCCTTGATATATATATTTATATAATTTCAAAACGTCCCCGGGGTCTGCTCTATAACCTACTTAGAACCGCTCAACATAGGTGCACAACAAGGTGTACAACAAGGTTCATTGTTATATCAAAATAACTATCAAAACAATGTTGTATACTATCAAATGATATTGTAGTTATGATAGTTGTTTGATAAAATAGTGAACCCTGTCGTACACCTATGGTGGTCAGCACTACGTAGGATTCAGCACAAGCCCTGAGTACAGTATTGCAATACTTTCAAAATCCCCTTAATAGATTCGAAATCCCCGAAGCAGAATGCAAATATCAAGAAAATCAAAATCCCTCTGAAAGAAGAAGCAAAGGTGCAGTAGGCCTATCATTTTCTCGACATTGCAGTGAGTCACTGACTGTAGTAGAAGTGGCAATCATTTATACATTTAGGAGCTGTAGTAATCGAAAATATGCATCACCTTCATTGTTCGTTTTTTAATGTTGTACCGTTGTGTTCTCAACCAAAACAACTGTCTTGAGCAAATCTCATCTTCGAAATCTAAGGGTTTTATTCTCAATATACCAATGTCATCTACCTGCTTTACACGCTTGGAATACATAGTGATAAAATTAAAGGTTCCCGGTTAGCCATTTGTTTGGTTTTAGACATAAAAGCTGACAATCGCTAGGCTGATACTTTGAATATCACAGCGGAGCTACACCAGAATTAGAGGTAATACCTATTACCATTGCCCATAATTTTGTCAGTACAAGTACCACAAGTGAAGAAATCATATGTTTATCGTACCACCCTTGGATTTCGAATCTTTACGAAATCCGTATCGCTTATAAACGTTGTTGTCCTTGAGAGCGCAGAAGATAATACTTCATTCAAAAAATAATTTAAAGTTTGTCAATAAAAAGTTCTAATAAGGACACATCTTTCAATATATCTGTTTATATTGTACACTACAACTTCTCTCACTACCATAGTTCTCGCCATCCTTTTATACTCACGAGATTTGTGACATGACGCGAATGCAGCGACGTCTTCTGGATGAACAAAATCATAAACGGAACGACCATCTAATTCGTCGACGTCATATCCGGTCAGGGCTGCCGCTCTGAAACACAAAGAATAAACTTAATTTCAATTGAGCACCATTTTTTTCTCCCAAATTTAAATACATTTTTCCTAAGCAATATTCCAAAGAATTTGATAAGCTATCCAATCATAAGTAACCATACAATAACAAAATGTTTCAAAAGATGCTGATACAAATACATATTAAACGATATTTTTTTTTAAATAAACAAACATCATTAATGTTACTCAATCATTTGCTTGGAACACAAGAACTGAATTGATATTTAGACACAAGACGTTTTTATACAGTCTGAAAAACTCTGAATACCCGGACGAATGCTTTGTTTTGCAATAGATTATCAACAGCGGAGTTGCAAACACCACTATTAGAAAATTCTAACTACTTTTACAGTTTATTCGTCAAAAAAATGTTATTGTATTTTTCGTACTTAAATCAGCTCTATAGTACTAGTCGTTGTAAGTATCACTCACTTTTTATCAAGTTCGTTTATTTTCAGGTCCATATCATGTTTACTCCAAAATACATTCTGCTTGGCATCGTCATTTATGTCATTTCCGGTTAGCATAAATGGCTGGCAGTAGAGTCGGATGACCTGAGGGAAACTCCCTGCTGACTTAGAGGACAGTTCAGGAAAATTGTCAACTTTTCCAACGCAGTGTATTTTCTGGAAGGTAGTTAAACACAGTCCATAAAACTAATTGTTGTTTTAGTAAGAAACATATTTATACTGTTAATAAAAACTCACTAAGCAATGGAAACAAATTTCTTGAAGTTTTGTTGTTGTTGAAGGCTTAAACTGTAGAATTCTTTAGAAAACTCACAAAAAAATATACAAGTGTGTATCTTTTTATCCCATATTGAGACAAATATTACGAGATAGTTATATCCATTGGTGAACAGTTGAGTTTTGAGGTAAAAAGTAGGATTGCTTTGAGTAAATGAACGAATTTTTTAAAAAACAAAATGACGTCTTTGAAGTATTCTTATGCATGTGTTGACTTATACCATCTATACCCAGAGCTTCATCTGGCTTTATTATTTGAAGCACATCAGTAGTTTATTCACAATTTTGATATTTGAGGATTCTACATTAGGGAATTGATGTCCTCGTCATTTAAGTCAGATATGAAGCAGAAATAACTGTTAATTATATTATTTACTATCAACATATACAGCGTTACTTTTATTAGACTCTAAAAGAGCAGGAATCGCCTAGATTTATTGAATGATTTCTTTAAACGTCTTAGTAATTTCCAATAGGACATCTGGAATGTTATACCAAAAGTATTTATCATTCCATCGACATTTTCATAAAAGTAAGAACTTTTATACAAACAATAACAATTGCTGGTGACAATATGCAATTAATTGACCTAAAAAAAAATTATATAAAGCATATAGTTATAAAATGACTGACCAGGTAGCCTGCGGTTGTTCCATTAAAACACTTCATCCTGCAAATAAACGATGCCGGCCTGGCCGTTTCTTGATTGTCTCCCCTTTCCTGCCGACATCTTGAATCCTGAAATCAAATAGGTCATGAACAGAAGAATGAACGTGTGGCTGGAAAATCATGACATTTTCCTTTACCACAATGTCGTGTCCCCAATTCGCTATATTTATAATCTATCTTTTGTTGCGATGACGCTTATAAACTCCAGACAAGCATAAACAACATAGGTATTTGGCATTTAGACAACAGTAAAAAAATATGAGACACGGAACGTGACTAAAAATAATTAGTTTCTCTGTAGTTATTTAGCGTGTATACAATCAGTTATAAAAAGGCTTGGTAACTGGCTAGTGCCACATTATGCAGCTATTGGGGACAAACATCGACGCGCATGCGCAGGTTTTCCCACCATGTGAACGAATGATTTACTATAGATTATGGATTGGCATTTCAGAATAATTACTAGTATCACGTTTTCCAATGCAAAGTTTATAAATATATGATCGTTTAATTAAGCATTTCTTTCTTTATAAAGCTTTAAAAGTTTTCATTTTAAAATGAATATTAGTTGGGTCATTTTTCAGATGAAAATACAATATGAACTCATTCATAGCCTTACCAAATTCTCAACAAAACGAATATTTTGACAACTTAAACGTCAAATAAAAGCATTATTACATACAAATCTTAAAATATAAACAAACGATCTTATGCGAGAACAGAGCGGCGCAAACGCCAGACTACAGTGGCATCAGAACAACACTCTCCTGCCGTCGTCCTCTCAAATCCTCACGTTGATGCAAGTAGACCAGTTTTACCCTTTAGTTCATTAAATAATCGCGTGACAGCATAACAGTAAAACTGGTCTGCATTGAAGTCGGGTGACACTCCCCTGGTTTCTTCAAAGGACATTTACAAGCCTAATAATTGGTGAGGTCTTTTTTTCATGAAACCAATCAAATAGCTAATCACGTGCCTTCGGTTTCATGACATACTCAGGGGTACAGGGATCGTAAGTGAGCGCTACCCTTTTAAATTCGAGGCATAACCAGTCACCGTAGTTAAGTGCTTACAACGTCCCTCGAATCATTTTGAGACTGTTTTGTTCACGCTCACGTGTTTGCAGCGACAAACATGCGTGTATTAAACTGGTCATAGACCTTTCCACAACTATACCGGAGACGATGAAAGAATAAATATGGTTAATCATCATGAATCGCTAGAACCCACACCTGTGCAGCAGACGACCTGGAAGCCTATGAAAGGGATATCACACCATAAAAAGAATATACATATATATAAGACCGTCAAAAACACGATCGCTTTTTAATAAGATTTTATTTGCTTTGAAAGTACATGTAGTGTATATGACAACAGGAATTCCGCGCAATGATACACATCTCGTCCGCTTTGTCAGTCAGTTCACGCACTTGTGTGAGGATACTGACACCATAATAACAAAATGTTTAATTTAGAATTAAATGCAATATACATAATATTGAAAAATTAAAAACAAACTTCAATACATATGATTTATTAAGAACCCTTTTCTCTTTCCCTGCCCATCCAAAATTTATATTTTGAAATTCAATTTCAAACCCACAAGAAATTTTCAAAGGTGTTCATAGTCACCCATTTTTTATAAATTCAGCACGTTTTAGAATCATAAAACAAAGATAAAGTGAAAAACCAGCATCGAGAAGGTCAAATTTTACAACGACTCCTCATCTTGTATCTTATAACGGCATGCTAGTAGCTAGTGATCCGTTAGTACGACATATCTTTTTATCGCTGACCCGTATAGATCTCCGTAGATAAGAACAGAAAGAGGTAGTGGGTTATGTAAATAGTATCATCTTACCCCAGGGAGTGGCGGCTGTTCAAAAACTAATTTCAGATCTAAGTGATCGTCTGGATGTACAACTCCGTAGATGCATCTGTGAAGAAGGTCGACCTTGAAGAAAAGAAGATTTTTTTTTAGTAATTTAAGGAGCAAAGAGACGGACCAAGTTACAAGATACCAACATTGATGTACATGTATTTGTTATAGAACTTTAAAAGACTTGGTGATCGGTCGTAGCTGCAGGAACCGTAGCCTAGTGTCAGATTGACTTATATTTTGATATCTGTTATATGTCAAACGATCCGACAAGACAATGAACAACGGTACCTACAACTAGATCACCCCCAAGGAAATGTGTAGCTAAGAGAATTTACTAGCCAGAGGTGGGGATATATCAGTGAGAGGAGAGAGAAAACCATTTTTATATTTGTTAGTTTTAAAGCTTCCCTGCTCACTTTCAAACCGAGAGGAAAATCGATAAATTAAGTTTCATGGTTTGATAGTTCTGGAAAACTAGAAAAGGAAGAAATTATAGCAATTAACAGATACAAATGCTAATTGTCATTAGTACCGAAATTCGTTCGATTTTAAAATCATTTTAATAAAATTCTCGTCTTTCGTTAATTTTCTTCTTTTATTTTCTATTAAAATTCAAATTTTAAAATATTGTAAGAGTACGATGAGGTAACATCATTCCTGGAACATATTTTTAGATTTCCAACATATGTGGTTGAACATTGTAACGAATATTTAGACAAATTGAAGTACATTGAATTTTTATACAAGATGTGATTACATACATCTAAAGGAAGATCGGCAGTTGGAGCATTGTTGACCGGGCTTTATAGGGAAAAAAATGTAAAATTACCATTGATATTTTGTAAATGATGACGTCAGTTGCTTTTTTGCATCTTCGGAATCCGAGGGTAACGTTCTCGATATCATAAGATATATTGTAACAACCAAAAAAATATGGGGTAAAAGTACTACGCTACTGATAAGCTAGGTTTTCCAGCGATACAGCATAACCGTGTGACCGCTCACTAGTTCAGAAACATCGAGCGTGATCAGTGGCTGTATTGGTGACCGCCCGCACGTTACATTTGGTGGCAGCGGTGGGATTCTGTGGAATCATGTAAGACCATTTCACGGTGGGTAGGGAGGTAGCGAAGGTGCATACACGTAGGTACACAGTGGATGACCCACGTGATTCATCAGGCAAAGTCTCAGAGCGAGATTGTTCGGGAGGAGGGGGTAGTATAACATCCAAGGAATATGAAGGGAAATTCTACCTTAATGACAAGATATCTTTTTCCATCTATGCAATATAACCCTGCTGGGCCCCCTTACTAGTAAAGCAACGTTGCATCTGCCTGCGCGTTACAACTTGTACTATATAGTGCAGAGAATATGTTTTATGTCAAAAGCGGAACTCTTGGATTTCGAAGATGCTTGTTTAGTTGTAAATGTACATTTCAGAAACTTGATATTTTCGGGAAGATTGTCTAATATTCGATCCAGCACAGTATGCCAACAAACGGTTCTTTTTTTGTTACGTTTAGAATTATGTAATTGACATCGGAGTTCTGTCAATTTACATTCCTTTTTCTATTAAAGCCCAGTTTACCGAAGTCCGAGAAAATCTCGGGAACCTGAGTTAATCTTGCCAGTCAGAATACATCTCAAGTCGGTCCGGTTTAATTTCATCAGACGCAATTACTCTTGTCAGTTTGTGACAATCTAGGCAGTTATGTTAAAGGCACTCTAGAAGGTCCCAGCTCATCTCGGGCACTCAGTTGCACAGGGACCTGAGAATCGGTTACAGTATACATATATTTGGACAGAGGTCTTTACACTGTTATAGGGGTTTAGATATGCATTCTGTCAAAATGACAGCACCAATGAGTGTACGTTTACGTATATACCATTACGGTATAAAAACGGTGTGATATCGCTCTAAACATACCAATTTAGGTCCAAATATAGCTATACTATAACAAATTACCAGGTCCCTCTGCCGAGTCAACGACAAACGAAATGTTTTTGCATTTGTCCCAGTGAGAGGTCATTTTCTGTCCGTATGGCCAGGTTCTAAATGTTGGTAGGAGATTCTTAAGGTTAAATAGAAATGTATACAAGTACAATATTAGGTTTATACAGGTGTCTGAATAATGCAGGGTTCCGGTAAAATTGGTGATACTCGACTGACAGTTGTCGATAACGTAACGGTACGGAACCCTTTGATCACAGTCCTATCAGCGAGTACTTTCTGATACACATGAAAGAGAAAGTGAACAAGTGTCGCTGAGATTATTTGTAGCGATGTAGTTTTAGAAACGGATTTAATCGTTTTAAAACTCGCTGATGGCACTTTAATAAAACCTGTCTAATCAGACACTCAATGGGGCACAAAACATTAGTCAGATTTAAAGGAAATGTCGGAATATACAAGTATTATCTGGTAGTTTTCCCAAGAAATGGGACAAGGCAGCGACCAAATTAATCTGCTGCATCAATGGCATAACAGTATTATATTGGATTATAGAGAATGCCGTAACAGTAATTGGTCGGATATAGATTTAAGGTAAACGTACGCATTTTAACGTAACCCGTGAGATGTTTTTCTCTTCTGCACTATCCTTGTCTAATGAGTCTGCTATTTATTAGAGGGACAAGTTCAATCTCTAAAAAAAATGGTTATATTATATAGAAAAATCACCTTTAAGCGGATATTTATATATTTTGTGAAAGGACTTTTTAAAAGCAAATGGGAAAAACACTTTCGTCTAGATGTGGTGGTTATGGATTTTTTTTACATTATTCATAATCAAAGAGGAAGAATTCTCCTTTTTGAAACATATCCGAGATTTTATTGACATGCGGGAAAAAATGTTAAATTTCCGCATTAAATTTGGACGTATTTATTTCGTATTTTAAGAAAAAAAAACACTTTTCGGTCTCTTAAACGACGAAATATTAAATTAATAAAAAAAAATCAAAAGTGATTATCTGATATGAAATTACCAAAGTGAATATCATGCACGTACTTGATTGAAGCCGAGATACTGCAGCACGTTATCAGAGGCGTACAGTATGGTACCGTCAGTGGAAACAACAAGCAGAAATCCGTCAAGAATCTGTAAAAATAAAAATCCAATTTCATTAAGCAGAGCTCATCTTCATATCGTTATCTTATAAGTATTCCACTTAATTTGGACTCATTTAAAGATCTCTAAAGTTTCCTTATGCTCGGTCTTATGGCAAGCCAACTTAACATTTAATGCCTAAAAGAGATTTTTCTATTCATTAAGGAGATACGTCATAAACTAATAAAGATATCTCTATTGATTTAGGGGATATCTCATTAGTTTATACAGACAACTGTATTAATTCTAGATGAAATCTAATTTATTAATAAAGCTAATCTCTATTTAATAAGATGATATGGTATTAACGAATAAAGATATCTCTATTAATTTAGGCGATTTCTCATTAACTAATAAAGATAACTATATTAATTTTAGGGGATATCTAACTACCTTTTAATTTAGGGGATATCTCATGAACTTATACAGATAACTATATTAGTTCTATGGGATATCTTACTACCTTTTAATTTAGGGGATATCTCATTAACTTATACAGATATCTATATTAATTCTAAGGAATATATAATTAACTAATAAAGATATCTCTATTAATTTAGGGGATATCTTGTTAACTAATACATATTTTTTTATTAATTTATAACTATATTTCATTAAATCACTCATTAAGATATAGCTTTTAACCCTAGGAGATATCTCATTAATTCATCTAGAAATCTTTATAAATTTAGCAAATTTCTCAGGCAATAATAAATATACCTCTATTGATTTAGGGGATGCATCATCAACTCATAAAGGAATCTCTATTTATTCAAGGGATATCTCATTAACTTATAAAGATATCTCTATAATAGATATAAACAATAAAGATTTATTAAAATTCTGAAAAATAAAACAAATACAAAAAAACACCCAATAAAGATATCACATTTGTTCCTAGTTATATTAGATATCTCTATGATATTGAAAGATATATCGATTACATGAGATATCTTTAATTCATTTAAAGACATCTCTATTCGAATTAACGAAGACTTTATTTTCAGAAATGTCACAATTACAATTAAGGAGGTCTCTATTACAATTCAGAATATCTGTATTTCATTTTATGATATCTTTATTAGAATCAAAGATACGTTTATTTCTTTAATATACATCACTGTTACATTTGAAGATATAGCTGGTACTTTTGTGAGCCCTCTGTTAGTATTACATGTTAAGTTGGCTTGCCATTCGCTCTACCACGTATACAGTTTACAACGTGCCTACGGATATAGCACTATCGGTATTCCTCCTCGATCTTAATCGCCGAGATTGAAATTCATACTCTCAGGGAGTCGTATATATATGGACCATGCTGTGGCTGTCCATTAGACTATAATTTAAATACATAACACAAAGCGTAAGAAAAGTCTGTCTAAAACAATTTGTTTCGTTTGGGACTTTACATTTATTTTAAAACTTTCGCATTGGATGGCCAAAATTAATACAATAATACAATTTGTGTTTTCATTCTAGATCAAACATCAGTTGGTTGGTGCTCGATTGGAAACATATAAAACATACTATTCAAAGATTGAAAAGCTGGTTGATTTCTGCTTAACATAAAGCATAGGGTCAAATTCAAAATCAAAATCATATTTATGAATAGGTTGACGATTGATTACAACATTTCAACATTTCTTAATTATACAGTTTATGTCCTAATACAGTTCACTTGTATATTCTTATCTATCCACTTCAAGGAAACGATGAACCATAGTCGTGATATGTTAGGTAACGTTGGTAAACAGGTGATATGGGTACTTTACATCACTTGGCTGTATATTTCAAGGCGATAGGGCGCAAACGAACCGAGAGTTACTTCCCTTCAACTGTCTTGTGTAGCACGCGCTACAAGCCAGGCTAATTTTTTATGAAGAATTTCTCAACTGCATTTTACTACTAGCTTATCTCCTTCTAGTTTAGAACTTAGGCTTCAGACATCCAAGTGATCAAAATTATTAGAGGTTTTTTTTTTCCTAAATAATTCAATATTCTATAGACTGGAGCCAGTCTAACCAATCTGATTAAGATGCTATTTTTCATTCCACCTCGTTAACGAAATTTAGTGGGATTTTGCAATGAGAAATGCGGTCATTATTAAATAAATGAATACGACATTTTAGATACGAAATATTCAATATGGGAACTCCAGCTCAACGTCGCACACCAAAGAGTAAGAGTGTTATATGTTACAGTCGGGCTTTATCACGCGGACCCCAGCATCAATTCGTGTTTCTACGTATTGACTTAGACTGTCCCCCGTCTCTAGAATATTGAATTATTAAGAAAAATAATAACTCTGATAATTTTGATCACCTGGATGTCTGATTCTAGAGTTCTAAACTAGGGGGAGATAAGCTAGTAGTAAAATGCAGTCGAGAAATTCTTCATAAAAACTTAGGGGCTGGTGGCCAGTCTAGTAATGACATGTACTGATAAGCAATTATATTATGTGATTTAATTAACACTCGATAAAATAACCCCATCCCCAGAGATAGACATATGGAGTACTGACGGAAGGACAGGAATATGGCGTCAATCACCTTATTGTTCAAGTTCAAGTCCATCGGTTGGCAAGTAAAAGATGTTTACAACATTTACATGCAATACATCACAATACCACACCAACACTGTACAAACAGCACGGAAAGTGTAACCAATTAAGTTAAATAGTTTCTTCTTGCATTTTGCCGCTTTTATATATTTTGCCAATTTGACTAGTCATTTTGAGTTATGAGCATTAAATAATTCTATCATTTTAAACAAAGTTGGCTTTTTGTTATCGGGAAACTTTCGACAAGTAAAAATTTCGCTCTACGCTGATTAAATTTATTTTCGCCCAATGTTAATTTCGCCCTTTACATTTGATTATTATATTTATTATATAGCTTACTACTGTTCGCTGTAATGATAAATTCGCCCACATTGCGGAGGGCGAAAAGGCGAAAATCAAACTGGGGCGAAAGTTTCCCCATATACAGTAGTAATTTTTCAAAATATTAACACGCAAATCAGAATAACATGGACATTTCAACATAAAATGAAACTCATCTTGAACATCATTTGAATTACATACAGTACATACTCTAAGACTATGTTCAATATTTTTATATCTAGCTTTTTTTTTATTCGGAGTATACCTTCAATCACTCAGTTACTGTTGAGGTATTAACGACACAATCAATATAATTGTATTATCATGGGAACGATTTTCGTTTTCTGCCCCCATTAGCAGCTGTCATTTCTTTTTCTTTACTGTAAGGCATATAGCGTGAACTTTACATACTGACCGCCGTGGTCAGTTTTGGACACCGACACCAATTATATCGGAGCATCATTCAGCAGATTATGGTTGGTGACAAATAGATATTGTAAAAATGAAACCTTTTTTTCCGGAAATTAATTTTCAACCCTTGAATAAAACGGTCTTTTTGTGTTTACTTTATTTTAGCAGCAGTTTGTCTATGAAGACCGATTGTTGGTTAGACTGATTATTTTTGTTATTATTCCATAGAACAGTTGTCATGGAGAGTTTTAACTTGTTATGAATTGTTGTTATCACGTCTGTTCATCGAAAATGGGTCAGTTTCAATGTTTGTGAATAAAATAACAAATACATGTTTTTCTATTCAAAGTAAGTGATCGAATATTTATTTTTATTTAGACTTGGTGAAGTGGATGGGGTGGGGATGGGGCGTGGGTCAATATTATAAAGATATACACATTCGATTCTTTTCGTGTCTTATCAAGACGTACGAATTTTTTAAGTTTTGACCTAAAAACTGAGACGCGCCGGTAATATACATAGTAATGATGAGTATATAGACAGTAGGTGATCCTATTGCCTGTCTAGACTATACATATCCACATTTATCTCGGTATCTCAATATATACATTAACATGTAACCCAAATACCGCGTGTCTTTATACGAGGTTACTTTCTATATTACATTATCTATAAATCTATAACCACTTCTACTGTACCTGTCTGGCCTATAAAACATAAGTTCACAAAAGTATGATTTATATTGTGAATCACTCAGTATTAATTGGTACTGCTCCTACTCAAGCCGGTAAAACAATCCCTCCCTTGAGTGGATCCGGGATTATTTGAAGGGAAGGGCAAAACAGAGATGCTAATGTGAATCAGTGAGTTGGGGTAGATATGGACCCCGGGGCTGGGGCTGGGTGGAGTGAAGAACATTTAAAAACAAAATCTTATATACTTCTATTATTTTTATATTTTCTTTTAAATGTATATCTTACGTACATCTTATATATTATGTATAATCCGGAAAAAATTGTGTACCGCATTTAAATTTAGTATTATCTTTGTCCGGAATTGAGTATAACTACCTAGTCTAATATTACAATATAACATGGGTCCACCGCTCCGCACAGTTCTATCAGAAAGATGGTGAACGCCTTTATCATACATACTCTGCTACCGGGGCCGTGTCGTGTGTTGTATCAACAAGTGTATGATGTTGAACAACGAGACACAACAGGAACGAAATCATCGGACAGTGATTTGAGGTTTCTCCGTAAACAGAAAGTACAAGAAGTAGCTTCCGAGGTAAGCCACGCCCACTTTTCTATCTGGAGAGGTTCAAGAAGGGGTAACTTACAAGCGTGTTCTGAAAAAACGGCACGAAACCCCGTATTACAGTATATGTAAACCATTTACCTCATTCACTATATATTGTATCCATCAGCTTGTGAAATTGTATTTTAACCTCGGCCTTAGATGTGTTGATCTACTTTCAATCCGTTGTTTGAACACCGTGTAGTATTTATTTTATCACACGCACTCAGCATGGCCCTTCTTAAATAATATAAATAGACCCAAATGCTGATCTTAACCCTAAAATTCTAATTAATCCTGACAGGTGAAAACCTTCTTAATATGATAAAATGTCATGCCCTTTAAGGCTTATGTTTACACTGTTTTATATTGGTACATGTATTTGTCTTTTTCGTATTTGATTTCATTGCTGGTTTTCGTGGAAAGTCGAAATTTCTATAACAAAAAATATAATCTTAGAACATTTTATGTATTTTATAATGAAGGAATGTCGAAACTCTGCAGGATCCCATTTTCTCCAATCAACCATTATTTATTTGGTTCCTATTCCAGTGAACATTCTGGTGTGGTTGTATCTGTGCTGCTTTTCTCTACATTTTTCTATGAGATGTCATGATTCACGGCAAATGTTTTTTCTTATTATTTTTTATCGGAAATTGGAATCATGTGTTTCTTAGAAAAATATATGGTGTCCTAATTGATTTTATAAAATTATATCGGAGAAAGGTGTCCCACCACAAACCTCGTGCCTTTAGTGATCGAGAATGAACTAACTGTAATTTAGAAGAAAAAAAGTAAAGATGATCTGATCAGGACCTGATGATATTTTCATATTCAAACAAATACACGTATACCTCACTTTGCAGGTACATTCGGAATACCAGTTCCGGCGAGCCGTCAGTAGCCGGACGGTTGAGCAAGACATGCAGCGACTTAGTAATGAAGACACCTTACCGGAAATGGAGCAGGGATTTCTACGTCTACCGGAAATGGACAATATGATTGCCGTGTGGCAAGGCACCGGGAATACATGTTGTACTCTCGTTTGTTACGAGACCGAGAACCGGATGTTGGCAGAAAACGCTCTGAAAATTTTGTTAAGATTTTTACAGGAACATTTACGACTTTTACATCAACCGATTGAAGTGGCAAATAAACCAGACAAGGTAGCTATTGTGCTTAACCGGTTTTTACCGGGTGGTCAACTTCTTTTCATGAACCACCGAATGGTGAGGCAATTAGAAAAAGAAATGGACACTCTTATGAAATTGTGATATGTTCAAGTTCGATAGGTTATGCACTGTGGGTGATTATTTAAAGTTATTTAAATTCGATATGTATTACCTGTCCAATCTGGCAATTGATTATTCTGATATTCTAATA